TTTTATATCCTATTAGAATAAATATGAAAACATTAGTTATACTTAATAAAACACATTTTTTTATCACAATTATTGAATGCCATAAAGATTGTTTGCTAATAATGATTAATTAGATATCACTTTCAATTAAACAGCATGTTCAAATTGGTGGAGAAATTCAAGAAGGAAAAGATATTACCTCAGCTATTGAAAATGTTGCAGGTATTTCAGTTGCTCATATAGAGCCAAACTGTGTGAGAGGTAAGTTCTGAGTTATATAAACAATAAAAAAAATTTAGTTATAATAAATGATGATAATTTGTATTACCTCAGATAAAAAAGAAAAAGAAAAATCTATCACCATACCTGGTATATCCAATTGGTTTGAATGGAGTTGGCCAATTGAAGGTGACAATGCAGGATATATTCAGGCATGTGCAATACCAAATATTGGAAGATGGTTATCATTTTCTCCAGCCCTAATACTGAAAAATGAAATCAACCAACCATCACCACAACTGTCTGAACCAACTAAACCAAAATCTCCATGGAAAATACCTATTCCACATGCATCAGGTAATTTTCATAAATCGTTGAATATACCTGATTGATTTCTAAATTTATATCAAAATATTAGGAATTTGCCCCAAAAGATTATCATCAAGAGAGTTGAGCAAAGAGTTAGAAAATCGAGGAGTTGACTATGGGAAGCAAAATAAATGACAGAAATTGATAGAAGTGTTGGATGAAGAATTGAGACATGAAACATTAGCAAGTATAGAAGGTAATATATGTGTACTTGATATTTTTATATTATTTTTGCTTAATTTCAATGAAATTAAAGATAAAATTTACTTACACAATTTTAGGCTCACATTTGAGGAACCCAAGTATGCCTAATAAAGAAGAAGAAATAAGGTAAGTTTAGATGGAAAAAATTTTTAGCTTCAAAAGAGATAAATGGAATTAAATAATTTATATACCACAGACAATTGGAAGCATCTGAATTTCCATTAATAATTGGCTGGGCATTGAAGGAAGTTCAAAAATATGGTAAAAAGGGTTGTGGTAAACATATGAAAAAAAGTATTGTACTTACTTTAGAACAGTGTTTTTTGGCACAAGAGATGTTAGATTTTTTGAAACTAAAAGTAGAAGGAGAAATTGAGATCTCAGATTTACCAAAATTATCAACTATACAAGGATGGATAACCCAATATACAGCACAGTTATGTGAAAGAAGTGCCCAGATAAAACTTGGAGTTGAAAGTTAAAATTAATAATGATAAGTTTTTTTTGTTTGATATAATAATACTAATCATTATGACTGTAATATAATTTTCCATACCTTTCACTTTACTTTCATTTTTATTTTCATCAATAATTAATTCTCTCTAATTCTCTCTGTTAATGCAAAATAATATTATAATTATTAAAATCATTAGTAATTATTAAAAACTAAATAGAAATAACATATTTATATTTTTCCTCGATAAAATTAATTCTAAAACCATTTTTATATCATAAATTTTTTTAATTTCTTAAATCTTTATTCCAAACCTTAAATTTTATATAATAATTTTAGGCGGGAATCCAGCGATTCCTACATATAAACATAAAATATTTTATAAGAAAGTCCCTTTGAAAATTTGTATATTTAAACTTTGAGATTCATATATTGTGTTAAAAGTACAATTTTAGTTTATATAAACATAAAGGGTGGTTACGTTGGGGGTGAAAGTTAGAGTCCAGAAAATTTTAATTAGTGATCTGCAAAATTTTGCAGTTGTTTCACGGATCACGAATTAATATACATTGCTGGATGAAATAGAAGATTGTATCAAACAAAATTTATTGATATTTATTTAATATTTCAAACAAAACAAATTCGCGTAACAGACTCTTTTCAAGAATGACTATTTTTAAAGATTAGCTTCATACTATTGCTAATTTTTATTCCATTCATTTTCTATTATTTTTTATATATATTTAGAAGTGTAATGATTAAATTAAAAGGTATTTATTTATTAATGCATTAGCAGGGATGTTATTAATATGTAACATATATAGGTTAAAAGAAAAGAAAATTTTATTAATGATTATTTATACATTTATATATTTATGTAAAATTTAGAAATCAATTTGGCGATTGCGGATATTTTTTGTGGATAATATACTTTGTGATTTTTTTAGTTCTTAATATTAATACTAATCAGGAACTCGAAAAACGAAAAAATCAATTATTATTATTCGCTGACTAAATCTGTTACTATTGGCTTGATTTGTTGCTTATTCATGGTCAAATTTATTTACAGAGAAAAATAATAAAATCTAGAAGAATACAATTTATATATGTACATGTACAATAAGAATTATTATTAATTATAGTATCATTCACCTACCGTTTCTAAGATTATTTTTCTTTATTGATCCAAAAAGAAAACATATTTACATGCCATTTTATTTTTTTTTTCAATATAATATTAAGAGACAAAAAACTAATTTCATTTCAACCAGTAAAAAAAAAACAATAACTGTCCAATATAGTTGATAATATTTATATCTTAATATTAATAAGCAGCAAGCACCTAATACTATTGTATTGATGCTTTGAGCTTATGGATCTCTTGAAATGCTATAGAATCCTTTAATACAGAATTTATAACTAAATCAATATCAATAAAATAAATATCATGAACAGTAGATAAAAATTATTATTAAGAGAAGAATAATCTTTAATTAAAAAATATTATTCACATTAGCTATAATGACATAAATTTATTACTAAAAATAATAAAATACAATAATTTTATTTTAATTTTTAACAATTATTTGAAATACTTCAAATTCATCATATTTACTACCATTCACCATCTTAATGTTATTAATGTTATTGTAATTACTACTAGTACTATTAATAATACCATTAGTTTGAAAATTAAGATCCCGACCATTACCACCAAAAAGAGCTAAATATAAAGGATGGGAGTAAATTGCATATTGACAATTATTAGTAACATAACTAAACTGTGCAGAATTAATATCATTTCTATTACTAATGTTAAAAATAAAACTTCCAGTTGTATTTTTATATATGGCAGCTCCATTATTTAAATTCCAATTAAGTGGGTTATAACCTCCTACTAATTGATCTGAATTTTGTATTTTGCCAACTACAAGAGTTTTATTGATATTATCACATTTTTGATGAAAGGTAGCTACACTTAAACCATCTCTGCTACTACAATATATAAGTTTGAATTCATATTTAACATCTCTGTAAAAATTATATTGTGGACTTTTTCTATCAATCCAACTTGCAAAAAGTAAAGTAAGATGTGGTTTGATTGTCAATGATTTAAGTATTGATTTAATTCTTGGTGGCAATAAATTTAATGCTAGTTGTCTATCTGGAAAGATATAATATTGTAAAATGTCATTCCATAAAACTTTAGGAAAAAGCATTTGGTATGGTACAATTTTATTAAAAAAATCATCTCGAGAAATATCCTGAAATCTTATTAAAGAAAGAAATTCTTTTAATGTGCTGCCTGATTTAACAAAATTCTGTGATGACCAATCTTCAACATTGATATTATTGATTTCTGGATGTCTTGCTAATCCCCATTTAAGAATATTTTCCCAAATAATTATTTCATCAACTGAAAAATCATCTCTTTTGAGAATTTCTAATAGAATTGGTTCTTCCAACAATTCAAATTCACTTGATTCAAATAATTTTTGACTATATTCACAAAACTTTTCTAAATAAATATTTTTCAATTCATTAAATTTTTCATTAGTATAAATCAATTGTAAAATTTTAACTGGATTTTCTTTTATATAATCTTCATGATTTTCAATAAAGTATTTCATAATATATTCATAAAGTGTCTCAATTCCAAAGTGTTCTGTTGCAATTAATAATTCCAATAATTCAACTCCAGTATAATTTTCAGATTCAAGTTTACATGTGTATAAAAATTTTTCAACAATTAAACAGATTAT